CTTCACCTATGTAGGATATAATCATAGCTATTTGTCGCTGTTTATATTCTATGGCTTTATCTTTTTTTGTAAGTATGTCGGATAAGGCAGCTTTTATTTCTGCATTTAAAACAGGAGCTCCAATCTTCGTTGTGTTTTGTGGTATTTGATATTTTTCCAAATTCAATTTCCGTTGATCCTTTGTTAAGCCTGATGTAGCTATGTACTCCCAGCGTACTGCTATATCTGAATGCAGGTCTTTTCCATATATCTTCTCTAAAGATGGACATTCACCGAGAATCTCCAGTATTTCTACTGGTAAGTTTTCTTCGGGAATAGGTGGCTCAATAATAGCTGGATCAATTGATTCATTAATTACCATGTCTGGATCAACAGTCTGCTCCGGAGGTTCACAAACAGACATTTCTAGTGTATTCTCATCATGTAAAGACATGATCTCACATGATTCTTCACTATTACAATAGTTTTCATCTGTAATAGAGGTATATTTATATTATAAACTTACCCATTATTACCATAAACACCTGAAGTACTTCATAAATGACATGGGTAGGTAACAGTCCCTATAAACTGCACACAATCATTATACAATTTATTTGTCATCGATTATGAAAGTTATTAAAATCTGTAAGTTATATTATATGGTAACAGTCCCCTTTGAACTGTACACAACAAACGGTTATGCGTAAAAAATTATACACTGTAGGTAAGTATTTACAATAAAGCTTGCTTGTAATATAGAAAGGTAATAGTCCTTATAAACTATACACAATCGATCACAATTGTCTTCGGAAACACCCCATCTAGGTGTACACCAGACTTACTAAGTTTTTCGACAACTTATTTCTGACTCAAGTAGGTACATACCATTTCTACGCGATCTTTTCGCCAATTTCTTTTTAAACTTTTCTTCTAATTTCTTCATCTTTCTCATCATATATTTCTCAAAGTCTTCTGAACTTCTCTTGGTCATTTTAATTAAATTCAATTCAAATTTAACTCTTTCCGAAAAAAAAAACGCTTTAAGATGGCGGAAGCACTAAAACGCTAATGAAGTATAGTTCTGTAAACGGAAGGAAGTGCATGTTGTCTGACAATATTTTTTTTTTTTCCTTTATGGATTTGAACTATAGTGATGGATGGCAGCACCCAGATGCTTTACTACACTTGTTATCTTAATTTCGAGGACAAAGCTATTTTTATGAGTATTGACATTAACAAAATTTCACAATTTTAAAGATAAGTAATTCAAATTTTTTTAAACAAAAATTAACGAAAAGGTAACTTATAAAACAATTGAAATAAGTATCCTTAAATTTCAATTATTCATAACATTATTAAAAATGTCTATAAAAAATCAACCAAAGTTTTAATTGTAAAGTATATCGGTCTGCATAAAAAAATAAAGCAATTTTCGACTAAATAATAAGATACACAGTTACAAAATAAAATCAGGCTTAAACTCAGTTTATTTATTTTTTGATTCTAATACTTAATCATAATTTATATTTCAAATAGGTAATAAAAATAAGAAATAAAATTAATCTGTCAATGAACAATTCGGAACTTAAGCATTAATCATATTCTTTCATATATATTCATATCATTAAATATAATATTATAAAATTTAAAAAATATGTATTATTCAGAATCACTTGAAGTACTTTGGGACTCATCTTGACTAGGGTGTGTTACCACGCTGAAAGCTTTAAAGAAAGTTATGATGTCGCTCTGGAATAATTCTTGTTTGGCATAAGTAATTAAGTCTTTGTATTAGTCATTTATAGGAAGAGAACGGGTATGTTTGTTTTAAATCAAATTCTCTGACAGGACGTTGATTATTAAATGTTGTTCTTAGAACGACAATAGTTTACGAATTTTCTACATCGAGATCATAAAAAAATTATCCAATTGTTACTTGTTAATGGTGCCTTAAAATAATAAAAAACTCTGAATTTTCCATCTCTTTTGCCTTGTATGATTCGCCTGACGATTTGGCTCACTGTAGTAAATAATACCATTCATCGGGTATGTAAATTAACTTTGCATTCACTAGCCTTCTCTATCACAGAATGTACGCTGTCTCCTTCATTTTGTGTGTGCCCTTTGTTAAGAAACCTGTGAATGATGGTACCTTCAAATTCTTTAGCTACTAGAAGGTAGAGAAGAAAGAATATCGTCAAATATGACAGATCCTACAATATAAATTTTATGATGTACAATCGAAAATGATAGATATGGCAGATCCTTCAACATAAATTTAGAAGCCTACAATAAAAAAGTAGGAAGTGGAAGATCATACAATATCAATTGCATTATGAATGGTCATAAATATCAGATGTGGCAGTTTCGTAGTTTTTGAATGGACTAGCAAATGTTCGTTATGTATGATAAATATAATCATTAGAAGTATTAAAATTTAACATGAACTGAAACTTCATTAAATATCTATTATATTAAAATAAAAGTGGCAAGTCTTAGCATAAAGTTGATAACATTGTAATATTACCTGTACCATTACATGCACCATTTTCAACAACTGCGTTGTTTGGTAAAATAAGGCTTAAAGTTGAGGATCTGCTTCTTTGACGGTCAAAAAGACATTATATGTTTTGAAATCAGAATGTATGTAATGTTTGACGATTTGGCGCTCGAAAGAACCTACGTGCATTTTTTCCGACATAAACTATGTAACTGGCAGGTCGACGCACCCACTCGTCGGTTATGTCCGGTCAAAATTGACTGTAAGTACCTTCATTTTTGTACGTACACAAGGGACATTATAGACTTTAATAACGTAATTCTCTTCGTAAATATAATAAAATCAACATTTATTTTTTGTGATATTATTCCTTACACCCTTTTATGAGGTTTTATACAAAAAAGCCAAAATCGTTAAAATGTATGTAGATCCCACATTAATGATAGGGCATGGCGAGATATCGTTCCTCACCTAAATGATTCTTTCCCTACTTGGAAGTTAATATCATTACGAAGAATTTGTAAAATTTTCATTACTGTTGGAATTTCTTTTCGTACTATATAGAATTCTTTAACTTTGTTCCTAATCAATTCTAAATCAAAACTATCTAAATTATTTTTTTTCTTTCCCCCCCTCTTCTCTTTTTACCGGGCGTAGAAAATACACCATAATTTGATATGCCTTCACATATGTTTAGTCATACAGTGGTACTGGAAACACCTAAAAATGCATCAAAATCTAAATAATATATAACCATTATACCGAGTAGCTCGGTGGCGTAGTGGATAAGCGCCGCGGCCCGCGATCGTTGTCGTTAAGCAACTTTCGCAAGGGTCGGTCACGGGATGGGTGACCAAAAAATTATTATCTCGAGCTACTCCGTGTTTCGGAAGGCACGTTAAGCCGTTGGTCCCGGCTGCATTTGCAGTCGTTAATACCCTCCAATCCGCATTGGGCCAGCGTGGAGGGTCATGGCCCATCCTCCTTAACCAGTGGCAGTGGGGACATAAAATGGCTGGTGATGATGGTGATATAACCATTTAGTTTCTATTAAAAAACATCTTTGATATAAGTTAATGTTATAAAAAAATATATAAATGTATCAATAATACTCAGTTCAACTTACCGGTCAAAGCTACGACGCGCTTTAAAATCGAAGATTGTGTTTGATTTTCACCTTCCTCCTCCCGAATTTTATTGTAGACATTGAAAACAATATTCCTCGTTTGAGATTTAGGATGTTTGTTCGATATTTTCTCATAAAATAACGAAATATTTACGACACCAACAAAATTTTAGCAACGAATGACAACCAAGTGACTTAATGATTGGTGTCATGAGTGTTGCAATATGAAAACCCATTTAGTTTTATTGTAAAACGATGTTTTATGTCAAGGGGTCTCGATTTATTAGGTTTACGCAGAAATAAAAAAGCCATTAATGCCACTAAGAGGTTTTATTAATTATAAAACAATTAAAAAAAATGTTGAATAAAATAGTGAGAACAGTAATTATTCTTCATCTAAATAATTTGGTGTTTTACCGACGAATGTTTTTAGGCTTCTTATCCATCCATGATACTCCTCAGGTATAATTTGTTTCCTGCACATGGTTTCTAAATCTTTTTTCTTAGCAATACTTATAGGTAACTGACTACTGTATTTTGACTCTAACTCTTCTGGCCATGGCATTGCGACTGATGGTGGATTAGACTGTTTCTTAGCTCTTGTTCTAGGTGTATTTGGTTTTTTTATTGAAACATCCAAGCGACGAAAATCCTCAGACATGTCGTAATTAAAATAAATTTTTAAGTCCCCTTTTATATAACGCATCCTTTTAATTTTCAGCCAGTTCATGGCCTCATTCATGGTATCTTTGTTTTTATTATTAATTATAGCAGTGTTTAGCTTTTTCAAGTCCAACATTTTGTTAAATTTAAACTCTTTCACGTTATAGCTATCAATTTCAATTTTTTTCTTTCCTTCGTCAGTGGTAACCAACTTAGTTTTTTTACGACTAGCAAATCTAAATATATTTTTCCAGTCAGAAACGCTATTTATCGATACGTTTTTCGATGCATGTTCAATAGCTGCATGCATTGAGTCAACTTCCATATGGCTATATCCACTCTCTAGAAACTTTTGCTCAATTATTTGAAGGTGGTCTATTTTTTGTACTGCCCAAAGTAAGAGAGCGGAAATATATTGGTTCCGGTTCTGGCCGCTGCGCGTATCCGAAAAAATGCTTATTTCTGTCACAGTTTTGGGCAATTTAGACAAGTAGTAGAAAAGGCACGTACCAATTTCACAACTGCCTTTATTACCATTTATTTCACTCCAGATAAAACAATAAGCGTTGTTTGGAAGACTGGCTTCATAAATGATAAAATTAAAGAGAACTAATTTTCTCATGTAATATAATAGGCTTTCCCTGCCATTGGGTATTTGCAAAACTGCCTGTAAATCTATAGTTATTGACACGAACGTTTTGTCAGCATTAGCGCGAGCTTTGTCAGCGTCCTTAGCATTTTGACAGACCGTCTTTCGTTGTACATGCTGTTGATAATTATCTTCTAGTTCTTCTTTCGACAAAGCTTTTTCATACTTTGTAAAAACGTTACAGAGATCTTTTTTTCGGACTGAAAAAACTGTAATTATATTCTTCATTAAAAATATCACGGTATTTTGACTCTGAAACCGGATTTTTATTTTTCTCTTTACATGAATCTTCATACAATCTATACATGTTAATAACTGATTTAGCGTCAGGGTAAAGGTACTTCTTCTTACTATCTTTACGGCAGTAATGAGAATCCATTACAGGAAAGCATTTTATGTGGTCCTTAACCCGCTGAACATCTTCTTTTTTAGTTTTATTTGGTGGGCTTTTCTTGCCACGTTTATCATCCCCGGCATACAATCCTAATGAATCCTGTTTATTCACAGCATCGGAGATAACATCTACACTAATGCACAATGTAGCCATGAAAAATTTTTGACAAACTTGGATGCCGTCATTGTTTTTCTGAAAGAAACATTTCTTACTATATGAACGCTCCTTTTTATTAGACGCCTTCTGCACTTTTCTAGTTTTAACAGGTTGAACTTTTATGCATGAAAGAATAAAGTTCTTCCTTGCTCGAAAATCCATACTGTAAAAATTACGGTACAAACTGCAACGTTCTTCTTCAGAAAACTTTTCAGTACATTTGTATTGGCATTTATCACATTTAATTGGCTTTGGGACTTTAGCAGGGTGCTTAATACCTTGGGTCACATAAGGTAGCCCATCAATTTTTCGCTTTCTGGCGATATTTATTTTCCATTCAGATGGCTTAGCTTGCTTACGCCGCTTCAGGGGTTTTACACGACTCCAAACTCCGTCTAAAATTTTGTCCGAAATTAAATAAACAGAGTCTTCAACTCGTGAACCAACATCCGAACTTTCAGGGGTCATACTGTCATTATGGCTTGAGCTAGTTGATTTCAATACTTTTAATGTATTGGCCTCTGAATCTGAAACAGAAAAAGGATCTCTTCCTATGCATTTACCTTCTCCAGACATGTCGTTAAGTGTCGGCACGAAACGTTCCTGCTCTTTATATGGACTGAGAGTTTCAGGAATAATAATATCATGGCCGGAATCATTCTGCTGAGGTTCATTCTTTTCTGAATCTGAATCTAGAACATAGGCTCCTGCTGAATGGCCACCTTCTAAAGAAATCCAAACTCGATCTAAAACTTCATCAATCAGCACCATAAATAAAGCTTCCGGTTTGAATGAAACATTCGGACTTTTGGGAATAAAATCAGAATCGGAATCCATTTGCTTTGGTGAACATTCCTTAGGATCTGGCTCATAAGTCGGATCTTCATCCGAATAGTCACTGCCGAATGAAGCGGTTTCATCATCTGGAAAAAAAAGTAAAATAAATTGAAATTAAAAACTACCATAGTTAACGAATGAATCTTCCATGGACTTACTCGAGTCTGTCGTACTATAATCATCGTTGATAATATTGTGCAGTTGGGCGGCAATATTCATTTGAAATTCATCAAGATCGGAGGAGTCATTGTCTGCAATAAAAAAAAGAGTATGAGTAGTACAATAATTTTAAATCATTTACAGGCAGTAACTGGATTATAAACTCGGGTAAGTACACATACAGAATGTACTAGTGGTGATCCGTTTAAAGCCACATTCGATATCGTATTCTAATGAAGAAAAAGTGGAAGAAAATTTTTTGCGCGATTTTTTTTTGTTTTGTACGATTTTGGATGGCTCCGTTTGAATCAACCCTCCATACAATGGGGAAAATTTTAGCGCGCATAATTTTTTTTTCTGTTTTTTCTTAATCAGAACACTATACTGAATGTGCCCTTAAATTGGATCACCACTCTTTTTGTTACACCCTGTATAATTATTGATCTCTTTTTCAACACAGATTGTTGTCGGACCGTTTCGTTCTATAGGTTGGAGGAGGAAAACGACGAGACTGAAACCACGATTTTTCATTTTTAACCTTATAGCTCGTTAACTCGCTCGCTGCCATTCGTTAGCGAGACAAATAATATTTCTTACATCTAAAAATAGGCCCAGCTACCATTGCCTCTTAATGCACAGCACAATAGATACCTATTAGATGTTACTATTAGGTAAGTACGGCCCTTGAAACCATGGACACTTACCTTCTATATTGTTCTGCAGACGACAGCTTTTGTTTACATTTGCTGTTGAAACACTGGGTCCACTCATTGAAAATGTGTTACTGGAAGCACCTGATCCCACTGGAACCCAAAAAATATCAACATAGCTTAATAGTTTAATGAATTTTTTGAATTCAAAGTACACTTTTATTGTTTATTCCGTAAGCAAGCATCACTCAAAGCCGCGAAGTTTGATTAATAGTTAGTGCTAAAACCCAATAAGTAACTCTTTAAATGTAATAACAACAATGCTAGGGTTTCGTCAGTTGCGTGGTGAAACCTGATAAGATAAGATAATTTTTCACAGAAATAATAAACTTTACAGACGTCACATATCCTTCTTATATCAAAAACACGTTTACTCTAGTTATCGGGTTTGACCACGCAACCCTCGTCAAATCATATTGACGGTTATAATAACTTACATATAATTTATTGTTATTTAACTACAGTACTATAAACATGATGTATTATTGTTCAAAAGATTAGTTCATAACATGATGAACTATCCATAGGTATTATACGACAATTAGAAATATAATTTCTAGGTTATAATATTAGGTTACCTGTTTCTAGGATGTTACTGCAGGCTAGTTGCACTAATTTTCTGCCTCGGTCACTCATCATAGAACGTTCAAAACATACACAACCTAGTCAAGTAGTGGGCGAGGCGGAGGAGCTTTTAAAAAAATATAATATTTAATTTGAGACGTATATTCGTCTCCAAACTGTGTCTAAGACTAACTTAAAAACTATGGTACATTCTTAATCTAACGGATGAACATCCTGGAGGCGTTTGCCGACTCAGCGTCTGGTTACTTAGAATACTTTTTGCTGACTTGGAGCAATGGTTGAGTCGCCAGGCGTAACTCCTCCCTCCTTGAGATCGAGGTTCTCTTCTTGGGGAGAACTTCGGACACAGAATTTAAAATATTTCAAACGGTACTTATAAACTATAATACAGAGTAGTACTATAAGTAGGATATAGACTATCAGCGTCCAGACGCTTACACTTTTCACCTCTATAATTGCCCTTTCACATTCATCTTTTCTACTGACACTTCTTGAGCGCGAGAGACAGAAGTTTCAACTCTTCCAGATCGATTCCTTCCAGGTCTAGGGGTTTTGAAAATGCGGTTTGATCAGGGAAGTATACTGAAGGTAAGTTCATTATCGGTAGCTTTTCATATTTTATATCTTCTTTATTTATCTGATGCATTTTCAGGATTATGTCTTGTATCTGTACCTCACAGGATTCGTCCAGGGTGAGTATATAGGTTCCATGAACCTTGTGATGAGATGTTTCACCGATGCAGTTGCTGGTAAGTAGTTCTTCATTTTTACTATAGAGAATCCATCTATTGGGCTGTAAGAGCTGGACTTTGAACTTCTCTATGCTGACTGGGATCTGGTTACATGATGTCACATTTTCTACATAAGTTATCAAGTCACTGATGCAGTGGTCCTGAACAAACTGAAGCTTTTCATCATTGGTGCAAACAAAACTGGACTCTTCGATTTCTTGACAGGGCTGGTTGAGCAATCTGATCTTCGATCCTTTCACTAAGAGGTACGGGTATTTAGGTATGATTATGACGGTGGATTCATGGGATAGAACAGGTAAAGGAATTAGTTTATAATAGATATATGTATCTCCTTCTATTAGAGGTATTTCCAGAAGGTAAGTGATCTTATTGTCTTTGAAATAAGCTTTGATATTAATAGTCTGCTCTATCTTAACTAAATTGGCTACGCTAGGTGTATATACTAACTTTTCTATCCTACTTATTTTTTCTAAGATACTTATGAGTTTGTCAGACTATATTATAGACTGATGTAATATACCTAACTTACTTAGTGCAAAACTAGTTTCTATTTCATTTACTTTGGCATATATTTTTTGGAAATTATGGAATAGTAGATTATATATACTTATCATTTGAATTTCAAAATGTTCTCTTTTCAACCCTCTACTAATATTTTTAACTGTGTCTGCAATTTCTTTATTTAATTTGACGATATTATTATTTAACTTCAATGTAGAGTTAGTTAGAGCTTGTACAGTTTCAGTGATCAACGTCAGTTTTGCATTATTTGAATTCTGTTTTATTTTTACTTCCTTTATTAATTTTTCGTATTTCAGGGCGTCGTCGTGATCAAGGTTTCCAGTGATAAGCTTAACTAGTGATCCCAATGGATTTATCAAACCACATTTGTCCCTAATAAATGGGAAAATTTGTTCAAATTTGTTAAATGCTAAATTCTTTATAAAATCTACTTGTTTCTTAATATCTATAAAATTATCAGTAAAATTCTTTTCAAACTTAAACCTAAGTAACTTATCTAATTCCGCTAGACGGTCAATGTTAGAAACCAGATCTTCTTTAATAGGAGTGAAGTCCAGTACCTTTGCGATTATCCATTTATCTCTGCTAATAACGGCAACACCGTTTCTTATAGGCAGGATTCCGGGATTTTTATTCAACTCCTGCAGCTGAAGTGCCTGAAGTTGGATTGTCATAGACGTCACCAGGAGGGCGAAGACGAGCCTGCGGAGGTTCTTTTAACATTCTTTATTGGAACTTTAGTATTACTTTTCTTTATTTCAATGGGGATTATATTTCTACTGGCCTCATTTGTAACAATAGCTTTGTGATAGCGTGGCTTATCTTTGCTACTTCTTTTACTTGTATCTCTAGCGTAAATATTGTAATATCACCGGGCTTTATATTGAATTCTGTTTCTCCCCCTTTTTTATCTATTATTTTCTCCTTTCTCTTAATTGTTTGGTCTACTAAATGTTTATACAGAAATTTTATTCTTTTCATGTGTTAAAGAACATTAATTGTTGTGTATATTGTTTTTCAAAGTTGACGTCATAAGTGTTTCTAGAGTCAGTAAGTCCTAATAATACTTCAAATGGCGTTAAGTCAGTGGTTGAATGTATGGAATGATTGTAGGCCATAATGGCGTATGTCATTATGGACGCGGCGTCTGTATATTTTTGCTCATATTTGGCTAAACGATAAATTTCTATGATTGTAGAGTGGAATCTCTCTATAAATGTGGATTATGGTTCCAATGTGGATATCTATTTTGTACATAGCTAATAGTTCTTTCAATAGTGCGTTATTGAATTCAGACCCTGGGTCTGCACTGATTTTAATGGGAACACCGTAAAAAGAGAAGTATTTGATAAGGGCTCCTTCTGGAGTTGAATGATTTGGGATTTCGAAAGATTGTCCCATTTTACTAAAAGCGTCGATGATAGTCAAATAATAACGTCCTTCGATTGAAAATATGTCCATTAAAGTTCGCTCAAATACTGTCTTTAATTTAGTAATATGTTCCTGTAAACTAGATGAGAAAATAATTATTCATCAAGGTATACTAGGCGGTGTATTCCTTGTAGGCCACGTAGTACGCTGTCTATGTTCGTTGAAAAGTTGCTGGTGCCGTTTTAAGGCCAAACGGCAATACGGGTAAATTCAAAGTGTCCTGTGCTTGTAGTGAATGCTGTTTTTTGTCTGTCATCTTCTGCAAACCTCTATTTGGTGGTAGCCACTAGCCAGGTCAAGAGTAGAAAAGTAGCAGCTGCGTCCTAGTTTGTCGAAAAGGTCTGTAATGTTTGGAAGTGGGTATTTGTCGTCTATGGTAATTCCATTTAGTCGTCGGTAATCTACAACTAACCGAAATTTTTTTTCATTGCTTGCGTCGGTCTTTTTCGGTACGAGGTGCACTGGAGCACTCCAAGGTGAATGTGAAGGTTTTACTATGTTATTGTATAGCATTTTATTTACTTGTTGGTTGATTTCAGGAGGAGGAGTCCATTTTTATACCCTTATAAATTTAACGGCATCATTTTGGAAAGAGTTACCGCTGTGAGGGACCTGGGAGTGTTACTCGACGCAAAGATGACCATGAATATTCACATTGATAGTATCGTCAATCGGTCATATCGCGCTTTGGGATTTGTGGTGCGCACATGCTCCCGTTTTGAGAGTGAAATAAGTTTTAAAATAATTTTCAATGCATATGTAAGAAGTATCCTTGAATATGCTTCTGTCATTTGGAATCCATATTACGAAGTACAAATAAGTAAAATAGAAAAGATTCAAAAAAAATTCTTAACTCACTTAAATTACAAGTTCCGTCACACGTTTGATAATTATCAAGAAAATTGCCGAAAACACAACCTTGATTCACTCTCAAACCGACGCATAATAATGGATATGACATTCTTATATGACATCATTAATGGTCATGTTGATTGTCCCGATTTACTCGCAGGTTTGTCTTTGTGCGTACCATCCCGTAGAACTCGCAAGTTATCCATTTTCTGCACGCCGTTCCATTCTACAAACTATGGTAAAAATTGTGTTCTTACCCGCGTTATGGATATTTACAACCGACAATTTTGTGATATCGATCTTTTTGTTGGCTCGAAACTTGCCTTCAAACGAAAAGTAATGAATACTTTCAAATAGAAATATTTTCAAATTCAAATAGACTATGTATTTATAAATGTATGTATGTTAATGTTTATTTATCTATTTATTATATTATACCTTTTATCTTTACTTTTAATTTTCAATATTTTATTTTATTATTATTTATGTAAATTTACTTTCACTAATTTTTTTGTAATTTTAAATGTGAGTTAGGTGTCTGAATAGCATTGTGATATATGTAGTGAAATAATTATAATTATATGCTTGATAATGTTAGCTTGTTAAATCGAGGATGGCTATTATTGGCTCATCAATTGCTGTAATACAATAATTGTAATAATTAGCTATAAGCTCTATAAGGGTGAATATATATAGGATCTTCATTACGGGTTCTTATGTGGTGCTTCTCGTCATTAGTAAAAGTTAGGGGTAATTTATCAGAATGAAATATGTCTTTGTATTCGAGGCAAAGTTTTGAAATAAGTTCTTTTTCCTCTGCATTCATGTGATCTAAACGGAGCTTACTAATATTTTCGGTTATTATCTTATCAATGTCTGCGTGATTTTTATGATTTAGGTTATTTAATTCACATTTTTCATTATTATATTTAGTTACAGTAAAAGGACTTGTAATAGTTAGCTTCATTTCTGTATCTAATGTGTTCTGTATAACGGTTATTGCGTAACCATTTTCACAGGTAACTAATGCATCAGGCATTCGTACACCCTCAAAAAATACTTTGTGGTTCATTATGGCGTCTCCATCTTCTAAGCTTGTGGGTAACCTAACTCTTTGTTCGCAACGCGGTGCTTATTTAATTTCATCCGTGGGGTTATATATGATAGGTAATAAGGCTGAGTTTGTAAAAAGGATTTAGTTTTTCATGTCAATTTTAGCGTCTAATTGTTTCAAAAGATCACTACCTATAAGTCCATCATATCAACGTCATAAATATAGAATTTATGGGTTTCTAAGCTTTTAAACGTCGGAAATAATGGTATGACGATAACTTCGTCATGTTTACTAGAAGCGTGTGTTCCAATTACTTCGAAAGGTTCGCGTTGTTTATAATAATTGAAATATTCGTCGGCTTTTCTCGGACTAATGAAAGATCTTGAACTGCCAGTGTCTAACATTAGTTTCGCGTTTATTTCTGGAATTTTTACGTAAGGTAGTTTCAGCGTATTACAATTCAGGTTTATTATCTCAGGTTTTGATTGAAGGCACTTATGTGAAAATTTTCGATACTTTGAACGGGAGGCTCACTGTTATCCTGATCATCAATATAATGCGTTTCGAGGTCATCTGAATATTCAACACATTCATTATTATAATTATAATCATTTTCAAACTCCTCATTCTTACAGTTAGACTCTACATATTCAAGTTCATTTAAATTATAAAGTTCATTTATATGGAATTTAGGTTTCGCAGGTGGAGCGGTACGCATGCTAACATCAGTAGACAATTGGGGTGGCAATCTCTGTTGTGGACGGTACCCGAGCTGCTGTTGCGTTTGACTAAAATTTGGTTTATAACCTAATTGGGGTTGATTCTGATTCAATTGGGGTCGGTAACCAAACTGTGTTTGACCTTGGTTAAGTTGAGGCTTATAACCGAACTGAGGTTGACCTTGACTAAATTGTGGTCTATATCCAAACTGCTGTTGTCCCTGAGTAAAAGGGGGCTTATAATCAAATGGCTGCTGGGGTAAGTGTGGTTTATATCCAGACTATTGAGGTTGTGCCGTAGGCAATTTGACCTGCCTGCTTGGTGGAATACCAAATTTAAATTTAGGTTGATGATTATTTTGTTGATTTAGATTATGTGCATTACTGTTTTGTGTGATTCCAAACTTAAAATGTTGTTGAGGCTGTATATGTGCTGGAGTGAAGAAAGGCTTCATTCCAAATTTTTCTATAAATGGATTATAGCTCGCATTCTGTGGTCTAGGCTGTACAATGGTTTGAGATTTCAACATTTTATTTTTGGAATTATATTGATAGAGAAAATTCACCTCTTCTAATACGATGCTCAAAGCATTTTCTAGTGTGTTAAAACCCTTTTAACGTACGATACGAAGAAGGTCTTCAGGTAAATTAAATAAGAATACATTCATCGCCATATTATCATAAATTAAAGTTTTACTTCGACGAAGACTAGCGTCCCCAATCAAATTTACTTTGGCGATCAAAGTGCTTTTGACGTACTGTATTCGATTACAAAAATCTAAATATGATTCGCCATGGTTTATTTTTAAAGTTTCTAACTCTATGGAGATGCATTCCTCTGACTGTGGATCACCGAAATGCTGTTCTAATGCTGTTTTCAATGATGTCCAAGTGTCTAAATCTTGGCGTTCACTAATAAGATTCGCCGCTCTACCGGAGAGTCGCGATGTTACTACGTGAAAAACATATAAATTTTGTTCAACGCTTCCTTCAATACGACAATGATCTATTACGTACTCGCATTTTCTTATAAATAAATTTAGTAATCTTTCACCACCATCAAATATTGGTATAATATTGGACATTTCCCGAGGTATTTGCTTGATTTTATCCATTTTAACAGTGCAATATATTTCCTCGTTAATATAACAATTTCTTTACTGAATAATTTATTGTATATATTTTTATTTTTATTATTTTTATAAAATTGTATAAGTCGCATCATCATTACGAAGATCGTTTGATTTAGTTTCTTTTATTTTAATTGCTAGTTACTCGATTACTTAATTACTCGATTGTAAAGAGAGCGTGATCATCGATACTTTTAATTTTATTAGAATGGTGACACTGACTTTGACAGTTCGTTAATAAAAACCAAGTTGCCGCCATTTTGGCACACATTCTATTTCCAAACGCCGAGGAGTAAAGACATCAGGGGTATGTTCCGATATACACTGCGAGCACTGCGCAGTGGTCTTACTGCTGAAAAATCCGTTCCGTTATGGACTGCCAGTACACTGCTACAGTACCCTAGGGAAATTTATGACGTCATAAATTGCCGCCATATTTGTACTGTGAGCACTGGAGATTTCGAGGTAAGGTGCTCGCAGTGCTTTTGATCACGTGATCAGTCGAAACAGAATCAGAAAATGATAAGTTTCTAAATAAACAAAAAAAAAAATACTTACGTTTATTTATAAGATGGATTTAATTGATAAATCTTTTTTTTATATAATTTTCCAATTTTCTTTTGAAAAGAGGGAATCTTTATATTTATATTCACCTTGCATTAACAAATTTGAAAATGGCGCCAAAAAATAGGATTAACAGTATACTGGACTGCGTTCCGTTTTAAAAAGTCACCAGTATAACTAGCTATAATGGAACGGGCTTCCAGTATACTAAATTGACGTCATACTGTTCAGTGGTCGCAGTGTATATCGGAACATACCCCAGATGACATCACGCTCATTTCGTTATATTTGGGCTTCGTGATAGCCCCTGCGGACTACCCGCCGTTATATATATATTTTATAGTAATGTTATTATATCAATATATTTATTATTTTAATACTACTCTAATAGAAGACAATAAGAGCACTTCGATTTTTAGAAATCACTCCTAGAAAACTTCCTAGACACTTATAACTATTTTAGGGGAAAATGAATGGAAATAGAATGGAATAGCGATTTTTGGTCTACTCACAGACTGCCCATGTCACTAGTTGAGTCTCAGACGACGTTCCTCCGAAGTACAGTCGAAAGTTGCTCTGCCTTGTTATTCTTGACAAATTTATTTGGTTCGTTGGATTTCCGTGAAAAACGCGTAAAATCGTTCGGCGCGATACTGAAGTTAAGTTTTCGCGACGCGGAAATCCTACCGGCTGCGCCAGTCAAGTAGTGGGCGAGGCGGAGGAGCTTTTAAAAAAATACAATATTTAATTTGAGACGTATATTCGTCTCCAAACTGTGTCTAAGACTAACTTAAAAACTATGGTACATTCTTAATCTAACGGATGAACATCCTGGAGGCGTTTGCCGACTCAGCGTCTGGTTACTTAGAATATGTTTTGCTGACTTGGAGCAATGTTTGAGTCGCCAGGCGTAACTACCTTCATTAATAAAATACACAACTTTTTAAGAGCTATTTTCAATTAAATATGCGACGAAGCAGCGGAGCGCTTGCGATCGTGTCACTACTAGAAGCGTCGGCGTCGGCGCGCGGCGCCGGGGCGCATGACCTTGTCGAAAGTCAAACGTACTTACCGGGTCCTTTCCCGGACATCTTTTTAAAGAACTTTGTCAAAGACCTGTGCCAAAATCCAATAACTAGGCTTAACATAATATTTCTTGTAGATTTCAGATGGATATTTCAGATTAGTTTGTTTATCGGGTTTTTATTTTAAGTAGTTTGTACGTTTATTAAATAATATCGTAACAGTAAAATCCAACAAATCCTTTTAACGTATTCTAATTCTAACTAAAGTCCATTTAAGGACCGATATGTAATAAGGTAACATCAGGTAAGTAATAGTAACTGGTTTTACCCTGTGTGTTTAGTTTCATTTTGTGTACAAATCTCTGCACTAAATACCTATAAATGTGTATTGTGGGAAAAACTGAAGTCTTAAATGTACTTGTAGTATTTAGTTCTGAATTAAAACTTAAAATTAAGTACTTATTGGGTTAATAACTCGGAATATTTTCGGAATGCGTGTCAATTCCGCTTATCTGATATAACCATTAGATTAAGCGATACCGAATCAGTCTAAAACTGTTTTTACTTTAAAATCTAACTTTTTGTCACTTATTGGGTTTCACCAGGCAATCTTAGGTTATAACCTGCTGATTTGACCCAAGCAGGGACGCCCTGCTTGGGTCAAATCAAAATAAAGATATCATAAACAGCGATAATCATATAAAATAGCAATAACAATATAGATAAAATAGCTAAATATATATCTTCTTGTGTAAATGTCCATTAATATTATTTGTTTTTATCAATAAAAAACACAAATTATCGAGACTGAATAAAGGTATCATGAAATTTTTCAAAAGCCGTATTTAAATCTATTTTTTCGAATACCTGAAACACGTAATTTTTAATCTGTCATAAGAAGTCTATGTACTGGTATGAGATTGTTTCTATGGGAAAACAAAATATTAATTATATTTTTTATATGCAAAATATAATAAACATACTATTCGTACGGAATACAGGTTTGCAATATCTTCACTTGTAGATATAAAAACTTGTCAATGCTTAAAAAAATAAACACGACGACAATACATATTTGAATACTAATATAAATACTACAAGATAGTCTGCCGTGAATTTACATTGTTTCAGTTTAAGATTAAACAAGCATCTCTTTTCCGCTATTCAATATGGTACAAGTCAAAGTAACAGAAGGGATCCTGGAAGGTGAATTAGTGAATAATGATTTGGCAGGAAACTTCTATAGTTTCAAAGGGATTCCCTATGCAACTCCTCCGCTTGGTGACTTGAGATTTAAGGTAGGTATTGTGACCCCTGCTCCATGCGTTATCTCCTCCAGAAAGGTCGAGGATTTTATTTATATTTGAATATATATATTACTTAATTGCGAAAATATAAAATCATCCACATAATACACAGTACACATAATCAAATGTAAATATTAGAGATAATGAATGCAAAATTGATCAAATGTAATAAACATTAATTTTAATTGTTATGTTTTTGCATATTTCATACCTATATTCGTTCTGTAAACTTACGGATTAACTAAACTTTTGTTGTGCCTATTATCCAACATCAAATGTAGGGCTTTACTACTTTATTTTATTTGTTTTATATTTAGCTCACAAAACAAGTTACAGTAATAATTGAAATATAATTGAAATAAATATACACAACTAAGAAATAAACCATACCGTATCTTTTAAACAAGTGAGCATAGTATGGACCAAATATACAATGTAACAAAGTAGCCGCAAATCATTATACAAGAAGAGAAAAAAAACACAGCTAAATACAAAATAAAGAAAATATTCAAACACATGCTTCTAAGAGCGCAGGATGCCTTGGACTTGTAAAAGTAAGAAAAAGTAAGTTTTTTACCGTTAAAGATATCTAGTGAACAATGCTCGACTTACACTTACACAAATTTAACCTGAAAGAAAGAATGCTGAGGAACTTCTTTTGAACCCTCTCGCGATTCGAGTGAAATTCGCAGTGAGGGTTGCAAATGTTTGTTAGAATGTATCTTTACACTAATCCAAATATCTTCAACCTCACTTTGCCACTCAAACAAACGTCTAACAGTATAGTTATTCTTCTTCTACCGATGTTTACAGTATCCCGATCTTTTCGAAAAATTACAAATCTAAAATCAAGAAACTCGGCATCGTACACTCCAGAGTTAAGGTTTGTTTCGGTCAAACAAACTATATCATAATTACAATTTAGGATATTAAGGTAGACATCATTTAATTTGCTTCTAATCCTATAATTTTTCCATTTTGATAAAAAACTAACATTATGTAATATAAGAGAGAGCCGAATATGACCATCAATAATTATAAACAAAGAATGTTAAATACATATTTAAATAGTAAACAAGAGTCATTGCTTAAGTTTATTTACGAGTTTATTATTTTAATTTTAATTTAACTTGATTTCTCATTCTTTCTAACAAAAATACGCCCGAATTTTACCCAAACAAAATCATACTTCCTTTCTTTTGCCACTTTTCTAGTCTCAGCATAAAGAAACTTGCACTGCGGTGAAATATGTTCAGTGACAAAAATTCTCGGTGTTGATGATGCAGCGAGACCAAGATGTGAGCTATTTAGCATATTACTGGGTTCTTGATATCTTTTACAGATTTCTTGAAACGTCGTAATAAAACTGTATCACGTAGCCAAGGGGAAGATAGGGGTCACTAATATATTCCTGGGACGTTTAGACTTCTCTTCCATCTTAGCAACTCTACGACAAGCGGTTATTTGAGTATCATCGATCGTCATTCCAATTGTATTACATTTTTTTTTAATTGTCATAATATTTTCTGAGTGACTTTCCGGAACTGCTTGTAATAACTACGAGACAAATTCTCGATGCTAGATAATCTATTATTTAATAAATTGAGTTCAGATCTAAGTTCTTTGCGGGCAAGCTTATCCCATCGTAGATTTCATTTATGTCCAAGGGCTAGATTAAGGTTAACGATTTGCTTATAATAGACTTATAAGAAATTAAAAAACAAACACCTTTTGGAGTCTAGCTAAGTTCGATTAATATTTGGATTATGTAAATATGTTCATATATCTCAATTTCGTATTCAGCTCAAGTAGATTTCTCTTTATTTTCGCCAAATTGAGCACATGTTAATCCTTCTCTATATATTTAATTTATCCCTGTTACGTGCGCTACTCGAAAGAAAACTTTAGTCCCCTATACCATAATATTTCATGTTCTTTAAAATCTTTAGAAATACTGAAGCTTATTACTCACCTCTTGTCGTTAACTTTTATGATGGCTCTCTCATCGTCCAAGTTCAGTGTCTTCTGAGAACACGTCTTCTAACTTCTATAAGACGGGTATAATCAGTAATAAGCTTCAAAGAACTGGTAAAAAAACATTAAATGACAAAAAAAAAACATAAAACTAAGTTGATAAAACCCATTCTTCTTTTACCCATTGTGCTTTATTATCTATACTTTAATAAAAACGTAACTGATCGATGTCTGTACATTGAAGATATATCAAAAAAACTGTTATGAGGGATATTTATAAGCGTAATAGAACACAAAACAATGATTTTTAATTTTTTTGTCTGTTTTGTGTGTTTGTCGTTTGTGCACGATAATATTAGAAACGGCACGACCGATTTAAATGCAGTTTTCCCTATTATATTGCGGTATTCTTTCGTTAACATTTATTGTAACATTTATTTCAATCGGTAAACTTGAAGTGATTATGTCAATTTGAAGTGATTTCGCCTTTGATTTATTGATCATCATCATTAACTCTTTCACAGACGAACTGCAGGTCTTTGTTTAATAATTTTTGGTCACCCATCCCGTGAACAACTCTTGCGATAATTATTAGCAATAGCGATCACGCGCAGCGGCGCTTATCCGTAGCGCCACCGAGCTACGAATTAATATTGTCTATAAAATTATAATTTGTATGATGACAAATAAAAAAATAAGATTCCAAAATTTTCACTACTTCAAAGTAAGTTGACCTTATTTATATATGGCCAATCATATTAAATAGGGAACAGCTTATAATGGACCTGTAGTATACTATCACGCGAGTAGGAGAACAAGCGAAAAGAGCCTTCCGGTGTTACAATTAAGCATCGAGTAGTTTACAGTGAACGCATATTTTTATCAGATTAGGTTCACGTCGTCATCGGGGCCACCGGAGGTGGTTGGCAGCCGCCCCCGCATTGCATTGCATTTCGTTTGTCTGGGAGAGGCACTCGATTTACCCGAGCCTTTCCAGATTTCCGTCTGCAAGGGGATCAATGGTCCAATATTTGAGTGTCCTGGTGACTCGGCCATAACTTGCTGGGTTTAATCTCCCATAAGAGGGTGTAGCGTACGGGTTTTGGTTGGTTGGCCTCTGCGGACCCAATGCGCAGCTCACTGTCAGGTTCACGGAGGAGAATCCTACTCAACCCCTGTTTCTTTGCCAGGTAACAGAAACAATGTCAGAAGCTTTTCCACGACGTTAAAAAAGTTAGATTCACGTCAACTGAAGTTAAGAACGTAAAGACAACTCGAGTTATATATATTATTTCTTATTTTTTATGTTATTACTCTTTTGTTTTTTTTTTAACATACAAATTGCTGTAGATACGTACTTCAAAGTTGGTATTTTCAGTCTTCGCTGGAAAATACATAACACTCATATAATATTACGTGAGTCTGAGGGTCGGTTCAGAGTAGCTCAGTGGCGATGTGAATAAGCACCATGGCCCGCGATTGTAATTGTTAAGCAACTTTCGTAAAGGTCGGTTACAGGATGGGTGACCAAAAAAAAAATCTCAAGCAACTCCGAGCTTCGGAAGGCACGTTAAGCGATTAGTTCCGGTTGTATTTGCAGTCGTTAATATCCTCCAACCTAATTGGGCCAGCATGGAGGTTCATGGCCCATCCTACTTAACCATCCATAAGGAAGGCATGAGCTCCTGCAATTGGTGACGTAAAATGGCTGATGGTGATGATGATGATGATGATGATGGTGATGGTGATGATGATGATGGTGATGATGATGATGGTGATGATGATGATGAGGGCCGTTCAAATCTGGTGGAAGCTCGGTTAAGCATCTCTCGAAAGTATGTGTTAGTAGACGATTTCCTTCGAGTGTCGAAAGTCCAAATTAAAATATGTATATATTTTATTTATATCAATAAATAAAACTCCACGTATCTTCTGTCAGACATATACCGACCGACTTTTATTGACAAAGAAAGAGATCGGACGGAAAAGGCTCGGTCTCGGGAGACACCTGAAAAACGCGAAGCGTATTTAACTGCCCATCGCGAGGCTCATGCACTATAAAGTTGAATCTGAAGCATTTACCGTCAGGGACAATCTCTTGAGCTTTCGGAGAACTCACACAACAAGCGTTTGATCTCAGGAAACTTCTAAAGATCGTATAGCGCGTCTAACTGCTGATCGTAACATACATGCAGTATGGTATGAGTATGAAACTTCCTTTGATAGAGGAATGCGCTTGGTCTTTGAAAGGGCTCGCAGTTTGCGCAATAGAGATCGAGAAAGTAGTTTCGGTTATCGCCAACCCGTGTTGCCTTCATACTCCACAGGCGTACCTAAGATAAGTTTTCACAGGGTATAATGAACTAGCTGTTTTCCCACGACTTTGCCGCAAAATTATAGCCTATGACATCCGCGTCTGATGTAGCTTCCCGTAGGTCGGAATCGCTCTGAAACTATTGGTCTAGAGGGTTTTGGAGCAAATTCGATGCAAAGAAACAAATAACCAAATCTTTTCTCTTTATAATATTAGTATAGCTTAGGTATAAGAGATCCGATGGCGTAGTGAGTTAGCGCATTCGGTTTAAATTGCAGTTATATAAGTAAGTTAATATTGCACAACAAGGACATACATGAATACTAATTTTACATAACTAAGTACAAGGACAAACTCATCGCTAGCCGATTTCTTGGAGGCAACCTAGCATTACGTGGAAAATAGAACAATAAACAGCCGATTGTGCATACAATTAGACAAATAATAATAATTTAAAAAGATAAAAAACAAAAGAAGGATAGGTACGAATAAAATGTTCAGACACAAGCGACAACTAGAGCACGAGAAACGAGAAAAAAGATAGAAAAATAACATTCGTAACGACCGTTCACAGGATGGGTGACCAAAAAATTATTATCTGGAGCACTGTACACACTGTGCACACTGGCACAATGCACGTTAAGCTGTTACTCATGGCTGCATCAACACGCTGCAACGTTAACACCCACCGATCCGCATTAAG